TTGAAAAGACTGAGTCTTTAGTTGTCTGAAAGATGATCTAAGTTTCTCTATTTATATCTGTTTCTTGCCATTGGTTGAGGAATATTGTAGTAGAGAGACTTTTCTTGTTCAAGAAGAGAGACTTTGACATTGGGAAGTGAATTGATGGTGAGTTGTGGATGCTTTTATGATCTGAAATCCTGAATGTTGCTTGAAAGTTTGTCTTTTTGCTTTTGTGTGTTACTTTTGCTTTTTTTTTTTTTTTCTTTTTTTGATTTTGGTCTGTATGAACCAAGAGGCATAGTTGAGTTGCGGTTTTTGGAGTAGTCTAGTTTATTATGTGACTGTTACACTGTATCTGGTGAAAAGAAAATTTTCTTGTTGAGATTGTTAGTGAAGATGTTTTTGGTGGGTAAATGATTGGGGATGAACCGGGACATGGTTCTTTCAGAATCGTACACTTGTTTATGTACTTCATCACACCATTGTGTTGACGATCAATGATAGTAGATCATTACCATTGAGTTAATTGCTTCACACAAACCAAAAGCTGTAAGAACCAATCAACATTATAACTCTCTTTTGCTCCCTCAGTAGTTTCTGCTTCCTTATTATTTACCATTTTAATTATGTCACGAGGGAGAGCTACATGTGAGTAGATATTAATACAAGAAAACTAATACAAAATCACTTTTTATTGGGAAATTTAACTTTTATCTGTTTTGTGCCTATATTTTTACAGGTTTGGGATACACTATTGGACGCTAATGTCGCTCGTAAATATGGGAACAAACAGTCTTGAAAAGTCCATTGAAGTTGGGATGGTGGTCGTTGGATTTGATCACACTCATGCCAAAGTTTTGCAGTTTCGTTTCTGTTTTGACTTTACTTTGGTTTTTTATCTCTTATGATTATGGAATGGTGTAAGGGTGTGTGTGAGCTTTATATGTTTTCTTAAGATTGACAGATCCTTTTTCAACTTATCAAGAAACTCATTATCACATGTTGTATGTTCTAATATGATTAAAACCAGCACTTTGAATGGTTGGCAAAGTACAACTATGTATTTAATAGATATGTATTAGTTTGATATCTTACTATGAAATGAAGATATACGATAATATGCACGTAGATTTATAACTAAGTTTGATAACCAATTGTAAATAGATTTATTAGCTCTCATAGATAAAGCTATTAACAAGATTAAGCAAGAAGTCTCAAGACTAATATTATAATCAGAAAGAGTAAGTTATAAGTCTCGGAGGGAATAAACAACAGCCAACAAAGAAACACAACACAAGTTAAAGTGATATCATATTACTTTATAAAAGCTTATAAATTGGTTTGATGTATTATCACAATATCAGAAAACCCAGATTTATAAGGTAATTGTTGGGGGTTTAAGTTGAATTATTATTATTTATAAACTAATTTTACTTTTAAAAGTGTTATAAACTGATTTATAACCATTTAAAAACCTTTATAAACCCCTCATAAATTGGTGTATAAAATTTATAAATTGTTTTTATAAAACTTATAAATGTTTTATAAACCCTTATAAGTAATTTGTAAGGGTTTATAAAATCATTATATAAGGTTTGTAAACTGATTGTAAAGGTTTATAAACTAATTTAATAAGGTTACTAAGTTAATGTATAAAAAGCTTATAAAATGATTCATACAGGTTTATAAGTTAATTTAGAAGAATTTATAAACTAATTTATCAAGGCTTATAAACTAATTTAAGGGTTTAGAAGTTTTTATAAATCTTTATAAATTTATTTTTAGGATTTCGAGTTTATATTTACTTGGCAGGAAGATTTCGATACGCGGGCTCAATCAGTAGTTGCTCAGTCAAAGCTGAAAAGCGAAATCAGGTTCAAACCTGAGATTGTTTCGCCTGGTGAATGGGAAAGGTCCAAAACTTTCATTTTGCTGATCATAGTTGGATAAAACAAAGCTAAAAAAACTTTGCTTGTGGTTTGTGTTTGTTTTCAGGTGGATAAGAGATCAACAGATAGCTGAAGGAGTTGTCCCTGGGGAGGATGTGTACTTCATACTCTGGTTAGATGGTCATGTTACCTGATTGCTTAAACAATCCATAAGCAGATTCAGTAGAGTAGGCTAATGTGTTCTCACAAAAGCAAATCCAAAGGGTTTCTTTAATCACCCTAAAAGCAAATAATATATTTGTTTAAGTGCTTCCATTATTGTTTTTCTACATGCTAGTCTTTCAGCATACATGACTAATAAAGTACCACAAAAGCATATCATAGAAACAACTGAAAGATGAAGTCTCTTTGAATCCTCAAAGGCTGTCGATTTCATCAGCTTTGTACAAAGACTGAAAGATGAAATCTCTTTGTATAAACGTTTATATAATGAGTAAAACAGAAATATAAAACAACTAATAAAAGTTTATAAAACCATTCACAGAGACATAAAACTATTTACAAGAGATCATCTATAATAGTTATAAAACATTTATAGATCTTTATAAAGATTTATGAGAACATAAGCTTAGATTTCTAATAAGATTTTATAAGGGTTTATACAATTTATAAATGTTTATAAACCGTTTATAAAGATTTATAAAGTTTTACAAACCATTTATAAATGTTTTATAAATCATTTATTAGAGTTAGTTAATCTTTTTTTAAATTGTTATAAGCAATTTTAGAACTCTATAAACCAATTTTTGAACCTATGATCTCACCGATACTTATTGGATTGTATCAAAGAACCAATGGCATGGACACAAAACTTTAGAGCATACATGAAATAAAATAGTTCAATGTGTCCGTGTTGGGTAAAGGGTGATTTATGATGAGAATGAACAAGATTCAATGTGTACATTGTTAAACATTTTAACTCTCGTTTAATCCTTCTCTGGGGCTATGTGCATGATACAAACAAAAAAAGGCATTGAGCAAGAGTGAATTAAAAAGTGAAGCTTATGTCGATAAGCAACTAAAACCTTATAAAATCTAGAAGTCTTATAAAACTTTATATGTTATTGACAAACTTTATGAAATAGATTTAAAATAAGAGTACATATAAAATCATTTTATAAGGATTTATAAATTATTCATAAGGTTTAAAGTCATTTATACGTGTTTATAAATAATTTATAAGTGTTTATAAATAATTTATAAGGATTTATAAAACATTTATAAGGTATCTACATTTATAAGAGTTAATATATTATATATAAAAGCTTATATATTATTTATAGAGGTTTATAAAGGTTCATTAACTGATTTATGAAATCTTATAAACTAATTTATAAGAGATTTTATTTTAATTTACAAGAGTGTATAAATTCATTAATAAAGGTTTATAAATTTATTTATAACACTTTATAAAATATATACTGGATTCTATAATTTAATTATTAATATTCATAAATTAATTTATAAAGCTTTGTAAATCATTTGAATCTAGCTCCAACAGAGTTTGGACTTATAAAACTCTTGTTAGTTTTATAAACTGAAACAAAGAAACACCGTAAACAATAATCCAAATATTGGTGGAGGTTCTTCTTCAAGTAAAACTTCCTCATTGTACTTGTGTATATATATACAAGCCGGTTACTCAAATGTTGTGGTGCCGTTGTTATATTGAGCAGGTGTTTGTGGAGTTCAAAGGACGAGAACCTTCCCCAGAGCCTCTTCTCAGACACAATAGACTCTTGGTTGCTTCTGCTTGAAACTACTATGTATATTCTCTTTAAAACTGATGGAATAGAGTCATCCTCGTACCTTGATTTTAAGATTTGCTAATTTCATCCAATAAAATTAAACTTTTGACTTGCTTGTTCACTGAGAGTGGTAATATAAGTTATTGCTTCTATAAAGAAAACTAACAGAGACTACCGTTTGGCATGTACTCTGAGACCAAAAGAAGCTCACGCTTTCTCCTGCAGTAACCGAAAAGCGGAACAAGATTCCTGTGTTTCAGACATCTCATGGACACGACCTCAGCCACAAACTGCTTCACACCTTCATCACCATTGTGGGAAACTCTCTTCACTCCTATCTTTTCAGATTTTTCAGCAAAACCAACTACTTCTTTTACAAGAAAACAGCCATGTGTTAAACTAAACACAGGTCTGCTCAGAACTTGAGTCTTTGTTACCACCATGTCCAGACCAAGCTTCTTGGAAACATTAACTCAAACCTTCAGCTTATACTAAAGCTTGCACCATAACTTGTTTCACCTTCTGTCTTAACCGAACCAGTACGTTCTAACACTACCCGTCTCAGAGAAAAAAAACATCAAACATATCAGCCATGTTTCAATAATCCTGAGACAACCTTGCAGCCAAGAAATCCCTGATGATAAACTGATTACCACCAACTGTAAATGCCCAGATGATCACAACCAGTATCAGAACCCTTTGATGCCTCAACAGACTTCCCTCTGTTACACCAAACTCACTGATATGAATCCTATGTTACACCAAAGCCTCTGACCTGAATCACAGTCCTCCGAACAATAGAATCCCAAACCATCACTTCTGTCTCAACCACAACAGCCATTAAACTTAAGAACTCTTTTTTCCAAGGCGTCCCCCAGTCATTAAACTTAAACCATCACTTCTGTCTCAACCACAACAGCCATTAAAATTAAGAATTCTTTTTTTCTTTACCAACAACTTAACTTTGCAGCCCATGTAAACACCATACATAGCATACTTGAACAGAAAGGAAGACCCTTTCAAAACATAGAACAGTAACGAGGAACCAAACACAATTGGCCCCAGAAACCTTCTCTCAGCGCGTGTCAGACCCGGAAGTACAAAAGCAATAATTTCATACCAGATCACTGGACTCCCTAGTAGAAGCCCACAATAACCTGAGACCTGCACTGCAACAAACAAAGAAATCTGTTTTTTTTCTTGTTACATTTTAGTAAGCCTAGCTATAGAGTTCAAGTGGTTAAGACCTTTAAAGTTGTGAAGAAAAATTCGCCAGGAGCTAGCTGAAGAAACCGTACACCCTGATTTTTGACAGGAGCAACTATACCAAGTGATCATCACCAGTAGATGGACGAAGAACCCTTATATCAGTCAACAAAGGTGGGTTTCTTCCCAAATATAGATGTTGTATCAAAGCTTCTTTCTGCACAAATCATCATACTGAGACTCAAAAAAGGAGCTATATGGAATTAAGAAACAGAAGAAACAAAGGTGTGAGCTTTACAGCGGTCCAAGGTCTGTACTTGTCTGAGAACCAAGGTATGATGGGACGAAGAATCTTCTGAGAAGCAATCTGTTCCATACAAATAGGCCATATCTTCTCTACAGCATGATTCAACAACCTCACCGGTTCAGAATCAGACAGAACCTAACCCGTTTCATTGCAAAACAAAAACTTATAAAGTCAACACCTTTAAATATAAAATTGAAAACCCTAAAACAAACTTAAGAAATCTCTGTGCATTCTTGAACAAAACAGATAAGAGGACAGAGCAGGGCTTTATGTATACGCACAAATCTTCACAAGTGTCAACATTTACTAGCATGGAAGTGGGAGCTGGACTTACCTTTGGGTGTTTCACATTGGGAGGCGAGAATGGATACATCAATGTCTCAAAGTTTGGTCTCAACCACATCCCAATGCATTCTCCTACCTTCAAACATTTGTGAACACAGAGAGAGGCCATTCGTTTAGCTAGAAAACAACCAGAACGAAAAAAAACACCAAAGACAAAGAGTCCAGTCTCCTTACCTCCAAACCCGGAACAAGAACATTCTCGTTAACCGAAAGCTTTGATGCGAGTTTGCATTTAAGACCTTCTATATCTAAGAAGAAGTCTGATCTCAGCATTTGAAGATTTGAGCACAGGTAAAGAAGTTACAAAAGAGTAAAAGTAAAACCTGATTCACCAGGTCTCAAACGACCACCAGGGAGCTTGAAGATGGAGTTTCTATACTGAAGAAGCAAAACATGTGGATGCTTGAACAGCTCAACCTGATGTATCCCAAACATCACATGTTAATAAAACTTCTGGAAAACCAATAATTTTGCTATCAATCACATTTTTTTTTACCAAAAGAACAACTTCAACGCAAGTCCTCAATCCATGAGCAGTGTAACTGCAAAGTGATAAAAAAAAAAAAAGAAAGTAAAATCCTTAGATACAAGTTAGCACAAAACTATAAACCCATATGATCAAAATTACTTGAATTACTTAGATTTCAATCTGAGTACACGTTCAGAGATCATCTAGTCCTTGAAGCGAACAACATCTCGAGAACCGAAGTAGTAGCTACTAAGCGGGTATAAATCTACTACCGAGTCATCGTTTCTTCTCGTCGCATTCTCTTCGCGTAACTAAAACTCGAGCTCCTTTATCCATATTTTCGCCGGAAAGTTCAAATATAGAGAGAGCTAAAGCATCGAGGTCGATAACAGAGTGATCACGAAGACAAAAGAGGTAAGACAGAAGAAGAGTGAAGAAGCGAAAGAGGAGGTGTAGTGGTATGATCGGTGACACGTGGCGGTTCCGGCGACTTCTCCTCCTCTCCTCATCCAACCACAAGCTCAATCTCTCTCCTCTTCCCTCCTATCTCCTCAACCGCTACGAAACACCTTGTGAATGCCGCGCCGCAGGAGCTTTGAAGAAAAATAGATCTAGGTTTGACAAATGAATTTAGGGTAGAATAGTCTTTTGCCTATCAAAAATTTAAGGATAAAGTTGGTTAGTGTAAAAATGAAATAGTGTATCTTCAATGCGGTAATCTTAGCAATTTCTCATGAATAATTCTCGCGCTTTCAAATCTAGTGTAAAATTGATGTCACTCAAATGTTTAACCTAAGGAGTGATTTTACTCTCTCAAATAAGAGGTTCAATCTTAGCACTTAAGAATCGAATCCACAAGGAACTAGAGTCACAAAAGATATAATCATAAGTGATTAAGCTAGGTTGAAAAAGCTTAAAACAATAAATAAAATAAGTAGCAATGGTAAGTTGCTAAGGAAAATAGGTTTTGGGTTTTGAAAACAATGAAGAGAAGTAGTTAGATTCAAGGTTACTATTCAGAAAATCAGGATTATAAATCTATGGATGTCTTAACGAATTACTTGCAAATATATGAGAACTTCAACCCTTAGACAAATCTATCGCTGTCGCTAGTTAGACTCGTCCATTGATCTGATTGGTGACTGCATCGATCGAGGTTGCTATCGCAGTGTCGATCGATATAAGCTGTCATCGATCGATAACTCTAGAGGAGTATCGATCGATATTAAGTATAATATCGGATCGAACTTTGTTCACCCGAGAATTTCTATCAGACCGGCTGTCGCATCGTGCCTTAATAGAGTCTGGGTTTAGCCAAATGATTTCAGGAAGATGACTATTAGATTAGTCACTCCATAATCAATACTCTAGGTAGCAAGTCTAGAGTAAGCATTAATTAGGGTTCATTTGGATAATGAATATAACAACTCAACAATCCATAGTTGGGGCTAATCCCTCATAACTATTTGAACCCCAAATCTAACATATGAATCTACTCAGACATATCCAAGAGATTCATAGCAAAAGAATAAGAAGAAAAGAAAATGCTTTTATTGCTAAGTATAAAATAGAATACAAAACTTGGTTCAAAAACTTCATATCTTTTAAGGCTCATAGGCATAGCTATAAATAGGGAGTACAATTAGGTTAAAAACTCGTCAGGGGCAATCTTGTAATTTGGTGAGAACTTGGGCTTCAAGTTAGCCAAATAAATCTTGCTCATCACGCTCTGTATCGATCGATGGTACATTGCGTACATCGATCGATGGAGTATCTCGACTTCAACTTCTACGGAATCATCATCGATCGAGTACACAGGGTGTGTATCGATCGATATGTATCTCTTAATGTCGGATCTTCATAGTCATCTTGGAAAACTCTTCTTTAAGCACCAAAAGGCACCTAAATCATCACTTTACCACAAAATGCTCCTGAACCTGAAAACATACCTAATAGACTCCAAAACATAGATAATTATAATAAAAACATATAGAAAATATGACCAAAAGTGGGTCAAAATCATGGTATATCAACTCCCCCAGACTTAACCTTTTGCTTGTCCTCAAGCAAACATCAAGTCAGTCTTGAAAAGAAGTTTAAAAACAGCAGGGACTCAATCAAAATCTCAACTTAAAAATCATAACCTCTTACTTTGTTGCAAACCACATCTTATTCCTATCAACTACAGAAGAACATTATACCATATCCTAGTGATAGACCATGATTTTGACCCGCTTTTGGTCATATTTTCTATATGTTTTTATTATAAATATCTATGTTTTGGAGTCTATTAGGTATGTTTTCAGGTTCATGAGCATTTTGTGGTAAAGTGATGATTTAGGTGCCTTTTGGTGCTTAAAGAAGAGTTTTCCAAGATGACTATGAAGATCCGATATAAGAGATACATATCGATCGATACACACCCTGTGTAATCGATCGATGACGCTTCCGTAGAAGTTGAAGTCGAGATCTTCCATCGATCGATGTACGCAATGTACCATCGATTGATACATAGCGTGATGAGCAAGATGTATTTGGCCAACTTGGAGCCCAAGTTCTCACCAAATTACAAGACTGCCCCTGACGAGTTTTTTAACCTAATTATACTCCCTATTTATACCTATGCCTATGATGCTTTAAGAACAAGAAGTTTTGAAAGAGTTCTGTATTCTATTCAATTTAGCAATAAAAGTATTTTCTTTTCTTATTCTTTTGCTATGAATCTCTTGGCTATGTCTGAGTAGATTCATATGTTAGATTTAGGGTTCAAATAGTTATGAGGGATTAGCCCCAACTATGGATTGTTGAGTTGTTATATTCATTATCCAAATGAACCCTAATGCTTACTCTAGACTTGCTACCTAGAGTATTGATTATGGAGTGACTAATCTAATAGTCATCTTCCTGAAATCATTTGGCTAAACTCAGACTCTATTAAGGCACGATGCGATAACCGGTCTTAAAGAAATTCTCCGGTGAAAAATAGTTCAATCCGATCTGATACTTAATATCGATCGATACTCTTCTAAGGTATCGATCGACGACATGCTTATATCGATCGACACTGCGATAGAAACATCGATCGATGCAGTCGGCAATCAGATCAATGGACGAGTCTAACTAGCGATAACTATATATTTGTCTAAGGATTGAAGTTCTCATATATTTGCAAGCAATTCGTTAAGACATCCATAGATCTATAATCATGATTTTCTGAATAGTAACCTTGAATCTAACTATTTCCCTTCATTGTTTTCAAACAAAAACCTATTCTCTTTAGCAACTTACCATTGCTACTTATTTTATTTACTGTTTTAAACCTTTTTCAACCTAGCTTAATCACTTAGGATTACATCTTTTGTGTCTCTAGTTCCTTGTGGATTCGATCCCTATGTACTACGATTGAACCTCTTTTGATGAGAGTAATTCACTACTTAGGGTAATTTGAGTGATATCAAATTTGGCGCCGTTGCCGGGGAACTAAGATCACTATTAGATTTAATCTGATTCAGTCTAGGTTATTTGTTATTTTATTTTTTTATCTTTTGACACAAAATCTTTTTCTTTTTGTCTCTTTCATGTACATGCCCAGCAGTACTAGAAGCAACAAGAACAAGCAGCTTTTGTACTTAGAAGATCCCAACAACCTAGAGCGTAGCATCCGCAAGGACATACGCTCCGCATCGATCGATACCAATACCATCGATCAACAACCGTTCGTCAATCGACACCTTCACCACCTCATCGATCGACATCAACAACCGTTCGTCGACCGATACCCCTCACTTGACATCGATCGATACACCACACCGGACATCGATCGATACTAACCGGCGAGACATGGTAGCGCCTATGATTCTTATACTCGATGAGAATGGAGACCTGGGTGATCAAGATGGTCACTTGCGGAATGCAGCAGATCAGAAGCTGAATGATCAGAAGGAGATCATTATTGAAGAGACTGCACCTACATGCATCATCCAACCTGTAGAGGAGACCAGAAATTTGGCTGACTACAACCGCCCCGATCAGTTCTATTCAAACCGATCAGCCATCCTACCTCCTGCCATCCAAAGAGGAGATTTTGAGCTCAAGCCACAGTACTACACACTTGTGGGTCAAATCCTTTTTTGTGGTTTGTCCCATGAGCATCCTATGGACCATTTGGAGAGGTTCGAGGATCTTGTCACCCTAGTCAAAGCAAAAGGAGTCCCTCAAGACTATCTTTTCTGCAAGATTTTCAAGTACTCTCTATCTGGAAAACCTTTGCAGTGGCTAAGACAACTACCACCAGGTTCCCTTACCATCTGGAATGATATCAAGCACACCTTCCTGCGTAATTTCTTTGATGATTTACGCGCTGAAGACTGGAGGAAGAAGATTGCTACATTCACCCAAGCCCCTGAAGAGTCATTCAAGGATACTTGGAACAGATTCAAGTCCTACCAGCGAGACTGCCCACACCACGGATTCAACCAAGTACAACTGCTCTGCACCTTCTATAGAGTCATCAGCCCTGATTTCAAGAGAGCCCTTGATACAACTAGCGATGGCAACTTCAGCACCAGGAATCCTCAGAATGCTATCAAGCTAATTGATAACTTAGCTTCCAGCAACAGCACAAGAAACTATATGAAGACTACATCATCCCTTGGAAAGGAGTACGTCAATGAAGTTCAAGCACAGCTAGACAACATTCAGAAGCTCCAAAACAAGCAGATCTGTGCAGTGGAAGATTCAGAAATGGTTGAAGAAGACGTCAACTGGATTAGTGGAACCGGTTTTCAGAGATCTGGTAACCAAGGAGGATTCATAAACTTCATAGGCCAGAGAAGCAACAATAACCAGAATCCCCAGAAGCCCAACACTTTCAGCAGCAGCAATCCTAACAACAACAGAAGCTATGGAAGTGCCTTCTACTCAAATCCACACCCACCCACCAAAGATACTAAACTGGAGGAATTGATGGACAAGATACTTGAGAGTCAGCAGAATCTAGAGGTAAACTTCAATGGAAAGATAGATTCTGTCTACACCACCTTCATGACGAAGATAGATGCACTCAACACCCATGTGAAGAAGCTAGAGACCCAGGTGTTCCAGACAGGAGAAGCAGTTAAGAAGCAGGAGTTTACCCACACCCAGAACATCAATGCCCTATGATGACTTTTGGCAAGAGGTAGTAGAAGAGATTCAGAGATCT